AACTTATGATATTGATGCTTAGAGTTGCTGGACTACAGGCCTGTGCCATAGCACCTGGCTTATGATTAACTTTTTCATTATTTTTTTAAACATATAGATGGACACAATACCTTTATTTTATTTATTTTAATGTGGTGCTCAGGATTAAACCCAGTGCCTCACATGTAAGGCAAGTGCTCTACCACTGAATTACAACCCCAGCCCCTTATGTTTAACTTTTTGAGGATGCACCAAACTGTTTTCTATAGTGGCTGAACAATTTTATATTACCATCAGCAATGTATGAGAGTTCCAATTTCTCTACATTCTCACTAATGGTTGTTACTTTCAACTATGATTGTGTTTTTTATTATAGCCATCCAACTAGGTATGAAATGGTATAGTCAATAATCTTTTGACAAAGGAAAAATGAAAATTTTTACAAGCCTGAATAAACCTTCATTAAAGCTAGGCACAGCAGTACACACCTATAATCCCAGCAACTTGGCAGGCTGAGGTAGCAAGATCTGAAGTTTGAGGCCAGCTCAGCAACTTAGTGAGACCATCTCAAAATGAAAAATGAAAAGGGCCAGGGATATCTAGAGATAGAGTGCTCCTGGGTTAAATCCCCAGTACACAAATACAAAATAAATATTCAAGAAAATGTAAAATGCAAATTTTCTTTTGACATATTTTCTTGAAGGTGTGTTAATCTCTGAAAATATATAAACATGTGCTGTCCCTAGCACATGTTTACAAAATATAAAATTGAGACCTAAGGTGAAATTGAGACCTATAATACAAAATATAAAATTGAGACCTAAGGTGAAGTTTGAGTGGATGAAGAGTGCTACAGAACTCTTTCTGACCAAAGAAGAGCACTGACTTCTTGCCCATTATTATTTCCTAACTCAAAAATAAAGATGATAAATATTTAATATCCTAGCCCAAAATAAGGTAAGCACAGAAAGGTACTACCACCTTTAATATTTCACATTACACTCTTTGATTTCAGGGATTACAGCAATGGATTCTTTGACAATAAACAGAGATTGGAATAGGTGACATAGTTAAATTAAAAACCCATGGCTCTGCTGTACAATATATAAGTATACAGAATATCCCACAAGGGCCAAAATAGCTATTCTTAAAAGCATGGCTTGCCTTTAACAGAAATATATGTAAACTAGGAAAGACAATCTACAAGTGTATCTTGATTAAAAGAAGCCTTGCCAATCAATACTAGGATTGTTTGACAACCTGGTTTTTATGCATCTGGGGAATGAATCATAGCAAGATGAAGGATGGGTGAGGTCAGGAGTACAGATTGAGAAAGGAGGGGAAGAAAACTGCCTCAACTGCTTTTTCAGGAAGGTAAGTTTTAAGAAAGAATACATGTAGATGAGAAATGATAATTGATTCCCTTGAAATTTCATTTTCCACATATTCCCTGGAAAATCTTCCTGTGTTCATTCTCCAATTTGAAAACTGCTGAAATATGTAATGCTAGCTCTTCATCCCTTTAATCCTCAGTGATTGCCCATCACTGATGGCCTATAAATCCCTACAGCTCTCATGGTCTGTTCTTCATTTAGGAATCAGTTTCTCCTTAAGTGACTACAAAGCAGTCAGCTTTATTTTCATGTGTGGCTGCTGGAATTTATCTCATTTTATACTCATACTTCATGCCAGGTACAATAGCATTTCAGGAAAAGCAATGAAAGTTTTAAACCATTAAGAATAAGAATTTTGATTTTTAAAAAAAGGAGGAATACATTTTAGGGAAGAGCATATGTTTATTAGGCTATAAGTTCAGCTGTTGTAACCAAAATTGTTTAAACAAGCCCCTTTGGCCTTCTTTCCCTTTCTTAACATGCTTACCTTGTTCTCACCTGAGGGTTGTTGTACCTGTTTCTTCTGCTGGAATGCTTTTCACCAGGTCTGTTCTGACTGGCTCCTGCTTGTCATTCAGAACTCACCAGGTCATCCCCTCAGGAAGGCTTTCCTTGACCATGCAAAAGTAGCCACCCAGTCATATTTTACCACATAACAGTGCTTGTCTTAGCCTGCATGAAGCCCTAAGTCCCATTCCCAGCACAGCCAACAACAACAAAAAAGTATGCAAAAAGGAATAGGGTGCCAATGAGGAAACCAGGTTTGACATGGCAAAGTTCCTCAAGGTGGCGGGTAGAGACAGATAAGAAGCATCAAATCTCTATGAATGTCCCACCTAAGTGGTTAGAGAAGTGTAAAAGACCTTATAAGGAATCTAAAAGGTTGAATAGAGTGGTTCCTGAGGATAGGAAAAAGTTTCAGTGAAGGATGGGTCAATGGGGAGCAAGTGTTCTCTCAGGAAAAAATGGGATAAGAAAAAGGAAATTGAATCTAGAAACAGTATTTGTGACCACTGAATAAAGGAGTGAAAATGTAAAGCTTAAGGAAAGGACACAGTATGTATAGGTCATTGCTGGAGGAATTTGGCAATAAGGGGAATTTGTAAATACTCTAGTGGGATTGAATGGGCTTCTTTTTGTGAAACCTATTCATGTCTTAAGGGAAATGAGCTATAGAACAGGGAAGACTGAACCGTGCTGTAGCTCGAAATTAATGGACCTCTAGGGAGTGCAAGAGTCACCTTCTGGGACTTTGAAACTCAGAAGTTATATGCAAAATTTTATGCACGCATCAGGGGTTATAGAAACGGATTTGTAGCGTTACCATTTTCCAAAAGGTGGCGACCCAAAGGTTACTAACCACTACTGTACAGGAAGAGAACAGGCGAGTTGGCGGGGGCGAGGGGGGCGCCCAGAGAAACCTAAGCTTTAAGAGAAAATGGAAAACCTCTTCCTGATCGAAGGAAATGCTATAAACAGATGGAAGGTTAGTTCATAATTACTTCATCATCTCATTAAAATAGGTAGTAAAGACTGAGCTGGAAACTGGGGAAACTTGTGCAAACACGTTCCAGCAAAGGAATACTGAGGAAGCGGGGCAGACGGAGTGAAAACAGGGCCTGCTGAAGTCTAGAGTTGTTTTCTTGCGCCTTAGTGCAGCACAAGCCTCTGTGCAACTTCTTGGCGCTGGAGTAGTCCTGAGGGCTGGGCATCACTAACTTTGTTCTACAACCAGTACACGCCACTCTCAAGACTAGCCGACCCCGACTGGGAGCAAGAGCGGTCTTATCACAAAAGGCAATCAACACGGACCCTGAGGTTTGTCAGTGAGTCAGCCCGAGGGCAAGAAGCTGAAGTTTCAGACTCGGTACAAGCTGTATGTCCGAACTTCCCCATAATTGCCATACTTTCTTTGCTTTAAACGCTGCCTCCAGTCGACCTCTCCACCTGTCATCATCTCTGAATCATCCCGCCCTATTTCGACATCTTCTTCCCCAGCCTTTGGCTCTCGACCTGGCGCAGAGCCCAGCCACTGCCGAGGCCCTGGAGAATTCATTCATTCAACCACTGCAGGGTTTACTGAGATTGAGTAAGGCTCAGTGCTAGAGATTGGGGTCTCGGACCCAACGGGTTATCCAGACCCTTCACCCCCGCGGCCGGACAGTCCAGAATCGACCCTGGCCTAACGGGCCGCCGCGGTCTTCCCTGGCAGTGGGGAGGGCCCCTGCCCACATGTCGCAATAACTTCCCAGACGAGCACGCCGGCACTGCCAGGATGATGCAGGGTCCAGGCTGGCTCCGCCTCCCGCCCTCCACAAGATCCCGCGGGAATAGAGTTCTCGGTGCCGGGAACGCATGTCTAGGAGCTGCGCGTCTGGGCACTCGGGTCGCGCGCTCGAGCGCCTACCGTAACGGCACCCGTCAGCGGTTGGACCTTGAAGGCCTGGCACCGCCCCCACCCTACGTTCCCGCCCGCAGTGCTTGCAGCCCCTTAGGTGCCAGTCTGGGCCCCAAAGTCAGTCCCTATCCTCTCCCAGCGCTTCGCTCTCTTTCTTTAGCCAATCGGAGACAGAAGTGGTGCGAGCCAATGGCCACAGCCAAAGTATCTAGAGTGGTGGAGCCTATCAAAGTTCTACCTTAAGTTTCTCCCGCCCCTGAAAAGTCAGAGGCGGGCTGATCTTACATGTCGGCCAATCAGTGACCAATAAACAAGAAGCTTCCAAGATCAAAGGGGAAGGGGTGGGATCTAGGCGGCAGCAACGCCTCGGAGAAGAGGAATGACAGGCAACTTCGCGAATACCGCAGACATATTTCCCCTACGTGAGGAAAGGGGTGGGGCTAGGGTGGCGCCTTCACCAATGGTTGGTTGGGGGGCGTATCCGCGGGCCAAGCGGGAGCCGGAGGCCCGGGGCTCTCTGGGCCGCGCCTGAGGCGGAGGCAACGGGGCCGGGGGGCGGCGGCAGTAGTGGCGGCAGCGGCGCAGGTGTGCGCCGCGGCTGGCCCGGGTGGATGGAGTTGGAGGGGCGGAGTGCAGGCGGTGTGGCGGGGGGGCCGGCGGCTGGGCCCGGGCGGAGCCCCGGGGAGTCTGCGCTGCTGGACGGGTGGCTGCAGCGGGGCGTGGGACGGGGGGCCGGCGGTGGGGAGGCCGGGGCCTGCAGGCCCCCGGTACGGCAGGATCCGGACTCCGGCCCGGACTACGAGGCGCTGCCGGCTGGAGCCACTGTCACCACGCACATGGTGGCAGGCGCCGTGGCAGGGATCCTGGAGCATTGCGTGATGTACCCCATCGACTGCGTCAAGGTGAGACCTGGACTGGGCTCGGAACCCGACCTGGGGCTGACCCACCTTAGTCCCATCTAGAGCCAGGATCCTAGCTGAGAGCTGGAGTCGACGGGGTTCCTTCTTGGCTCCAGGCACTTCACACGATTCGAACCGGTACTCCGTGCAAGCAAGGTCCGGGCTGGGAGTTGAGCCCACTCAGGAGCCAGGACTTATTTCTAACCATCAGTGAGATCTGAATCGGGACTCATGATCAAAAATCTGTCAGCCAAAGTCGGAGATCCCACCTGGGACTAAACAGGAATAGGGTGGGATTGGGGATCCCGAAGCCCAGGTAAGTGCTACTAACTCGATTAAGGTGAAGCCAACTGGCGTGAATCAGATGGTTAACTGGATCTGATGGCTTGAGATGTTCTTCGGGTAGGTGCTTTTACCAGCTTCTCGCTGTGTCTTTCCTTAGAAGTGACGAGGCAGGAACCGGAATCTGGGATCTCTCAGCTAGATAAAGGACGTATTAAATCTTATCCCGTGAGTGATTGGAAGTCGTTGTGCAGTCAGAAGTCAGAGTTTCAGACTGAAAGTAATATGGGAAAGATCGTGTTCAGGAAAAGGTTTCGATTTCTCTCTGAAGCAAGCATGATATCCCACCCATTTCCTGAACATGAAAATTGAACTGGGATTAAGATTGTGTATGTGCTCCAGGGAGCACATCAGCCCCCACACAAGAGAGGAAACTTAGTGTATTTCTTTGGGCGCCTGAAGTTGACAAAAAGGGGAAAGTTGCCTAGAAGGGAAGTGTGACGGTATTAGAAAGTGGATGTAAGTGTGAAGAACGTGGAACAAGATCGACACAATTAGTGTGAAAGTAAAACTAATTGCATCCACAACCAAGCAGGACGATTAATGGATCCAGAAGTTGAGATCCTTCTGAAGAAAGCTGTCTCCCATCTGAAGATGGGAAAGATTGTTTTTACAGTTTTTATTCTCCACCCTTAGTAAAGATGCAAACCACTAAACTTGAGATCTAAATTGAGGGGGAAGTAAATCCGAGGAGACTGTTGAAAAAAATATGATCGAGCCTTGTGCTTCCTTTACATTTTAAGGGTAATAGTCAACAATATCCTGGCAGTTCTTTGTATGTTTTCTCCTCAAATTAGGAAAATGTTGTGTATTCAAAAGGAGGAGAGTGTCAATTTGGGTAATGCAAAGCAATTTTCATTTTTCTGCTTGCTGCTGGTTCCAGTTACCATATCATGTTTTCATAGTAATATGGATGAAGAAATAGGGAAAGAGCTCATGAAGCTTTGTGAATGACACTGAGTTGGTTCTAGTGCATTGCAAGGTTAACTCCTAACAAGGACCATAGCCACTGAAAATGTGGTTAAATGCACTTAACATGATTAGAATTTTAAATGCCCTTGTTGATTGAGAGAAATAAACCAGTAAATTCCATGAGAAAGAAATATAACCATTGAAATGTAAAATGAATAAATACTAATAAAAAAGAACCAACATTTATGTAGTGGACTCTAGGTTGAATGGGAGTTGACAAAAAGGGGAAAGTTGGATATGCTGCATATCCAAAAGTTAATATGATCTGGCTGCAGAGTAACCTCATTCTACTCAATCATGAGTAGAGTGCAGGATTTATGTTGCTATTTCAGGATGAGTATCAAATGGGAAACAGATAAGTGAAAGCAATGAAAATTATTTAATGGCTTGAAAAATACAGTGTAATAATGTGACAAAAATATTACTACAGCTTTCACCATTATGCCATAACAACATAATGGGAGACTGTCTCCTTACACTGTATATTTTCATAATGCTATTGTTGCTTTGAACATTTTATAAATTCCCCTGTTAGAAATACCTCCAGAATCTTTGTATGCATATCCTTAAAGATAGCAAATCTTTTTTCTGTACACACACACACACACACACACACACATACACATACACATCTCAAAAGATTGATTTAGGGGCTGGGGCTGTAGCTCAGTGGCAGAGCACTTGCCTAGTGTGTGAGAGCACTTAGCACCACATGAAAATAAATAAAGGCTTTCTGTCCATACACAACTACAATTTTTTAAAATAATTGATTTAGTAGAAACAGAGACCACTCAAAATCATATACTATGAATAGGTGAGAGCTCACAATGGGAAGTACCTCTTGGGGTACTTAAAGATTAGGTGGAGCTGGAAAGCCAGGAGATTGATTTACTCCTTGAGACCTGTGTACCCACTGGTTGTGAACAGTTGTGAAAGAGGAGTTCGAGAAATGCTTTGCATAACCACAGCAATACTGGAATAAGTCATTTCTAGCCTTCCAAGGCAGCTATTTGGAAGAACTGTTCTTATTCATTTACATGAACTTTGGAATTTTTGTTTTTGAAAAATTAGTCATGAAGGGATGGGGATGTAGCTCAGTGGAAGAACCCTTGCCTAATTTGCACAAGGCCCAGGGTTCAATCCATAACAACGCAAAAAAGAAAAAATTAGTTAGTCATGCAACATTATAGTCACGCCTCAAAATCGTACATCAAGGAAGTAATAATTTGATCTGAATGAAAAATATTCAGGAGTCTTCAAAAATACCAAGTCTTGTCTTTGAAGAATAATTTTCATTTGCCATTAATGCTGGGATTTAAATGATTAGAGAGGAGACCAATATGAGTTAGTGTCCATATGTCAAATGCTGTTGTGCTTGCATGAAAGTAAAATTCAAATCCCAGCCTGCCCGGTTCACTTGTCACCTGGCAGTTTTTCTTTTTACCATAATGCATGGTGGAGAGGAAAAGCAGGTCAATTTTACCACAAGACTGGAGGCAGGTATCCATGTTGCAGTCAGGAGGGCAACCACAGTGTTTGCAAATGAAAGCTAGTGTTGTTTCTTGGCATGCAAACCTGTGTATCCTCACTGACTTATCAGGGTCAAGTTGACTTAAAATATCCTTGGGAGGGACTATGGGAAGTCAACACAGCCTTGCTAGACCATGGCTATCCACCCATCTATTTCTGTGGTCATAATAGGGAGGTTTGGGAACCCAGATAAATCCCAGTTTCCTTTTCTAGGCCTCAGAAGCAAGCATCAGTCTTTATCTATAGGGATAGGCTCTGCAACCCAAAGCAGTGAGAACCCTTCTCAGAACCATCTGGCTAAGTCCCCACCTGCTTCCAAGGTACTGTTTTTGGTTCTGCAGTGGTGAAACAAGTTATCAACTTACATAACAAAGAGGGAAAGAGCAGAGGGAGAGAAATCTTTTCCATTCTAGATGTAAATTGATATCTATACACCAGTGAAAGGTTAAGAAATAGAAACAATGACATTTGATTTTCTTGCGTCTAATACTGATTAGTTAAGCGTTCAATAAATGCAAATTTCTTGTGTGCCAAGTACCTATCTCTTGTGTCCCACATACATTTAATCTTTGAAACAACTTCATGAAGTAGACACCATTTTCATTATTTTATAGATGAAGAAAGGAGGATTAGAAGGCAGTTAAGTAACTTGTCCAACATGGTAGAATGTAAGAGGCAGGGACATCATTTGAATCCAGTCTGTGTGACTCACAAATCTCCCTTATAGCCTCTCAAAAGAAGATTTAAAGACCCAAGCAAAGCAAACAATCTCACAATAGAGCTCATCTCTGAATATGTGACCTTCAGATTAGCAGCTGAACATGTAAGTCATTATAGCCACATAGAAACCTTAAAATAAACTTTTAAAAATGCAGAATTAAACCGGACTTATTAGGTTTAGGACCAATTGTCAATGCCTATTTCTGAAAGCTTTATACAAGAAACAATGCTGTCATAATTCTGTAAATTCTTGGATATAAGTAAATATACCTTAGCATATTACTAAAAAGCCTTTACAGCACATTGTGAAAATTACCAGTAGTTTACATGTCTTATTTTTTTAAATTCCTCCAGCAGTCCCAAGAGCCAACCATTCTTGGCCTCATGTTACAAATGACAGTTTTGAAGCTCAGAAAAAAGGTTAATACTTGGGACAACACATCTGGCAAACTGGGACTCAAACTCAGGCTTGCTTTTTTTTTTTTTTTTTTT